TAATATGAAATACATTTTTTTGGTATATTGATCTTATATCCTGAAATCTTGTGATACTCATTTATTGTTGTTATTATTCAGTCACCAAGTCATGTCCGATTCTCTGCCACCCCATGGACTGCAGCATACCAGGCTTCCCTGTCTCTCACCATCTCCCGGAGTTTGCCCAAATTCATGTCCATTGAATCGGTGATGCCATTTATTACTATTAGTAATTTTTGTGTTGTTTCTTCCTTAGGATTCTTTTTCTACATATAAAATCCTGATATCTTTAAATATAGTTTTACTTCTTCCTTTCCATTCCAAGTCTTTCATTTCATTTTCTGGCCCTATTATCCTAGCTGGAACTTCTATATGATGTTCAATAGAACTAGCAAAAGCACATAGCACATTTGTTCCTAATGTTAGTGAGAAAGCATCAGTCTTTTACTATTAAATATCTTTTTACAGCTACCTCTCTTTTAGATTTCTTTCATGTCTAAACATGACTATTATATTGCCATGTTTAATTCATAGTTTAACCAGATATACAATTTTAGATTGGAAACAATTTTCTTTCAGTATTTTAAGTTATCTTGTCTTCTAAATCCAGTATTGCTGTTAAAGTTTGAGAATATTGTGATTTCTCATCCTCTGATTTTTTTCCTCTGTCTCAAATTATTTGGATTCTCCTTCCTTCAACTCTAGTGTTCTGAAATTTCATATGCTGTGCCTTGGAGTGTGTTTATTTTCATCCTTGGTATCCAGCATGTGGTGAGTCCTTTCATGTTAGAAAGTAATATCCTTCCCTTCTGGGATATTTTCTCAAGTTATTGATAAGTTATACCATTCTAGTTTGCTTTTTTCCTCCTATTTTCTATCTCTGTTATTTGGTCTACTATCTTGGAGATTTCCTCAACTTTATCATTAAAATCTTTTAATAGTTTTTCATTTCTGTCATTTTTTTTTTAAACTCCCCAAATTTCCTCTTATTTTGTTTTTTCCTCTTTTGTAGCTTCTCGTTCTGGTTTATGGGTATATCATCTCGTATTTCGCTAAATTTTTATCTTTCTGCATAGTCTCTGCTTCTTCCAAGTCTTTTGTTTGTGATTCTACATCCTTCATCTTAAAAACTGTCCACGGATGTCTGGTAACATCTAGCAACATTTGTGTTTACAGTGGTACTCTAAAAAGCTGATTAGAAAAATCAATTGCACTCTTATACACTAGGAGAGTTAGAAAAAAAAAGTGGGAGGACATGTTCTACAAAACACAACTATAGTATTTAAAACTGTGATATGGGCACAAAGGTAGGCAAACAGGTTAATAGAAAAGAGTGGACATTGTAACATTTGTACATATATATGTATATATTTTTCCAAATGTAAAAAAATGAAGTTGGTCCCCTGATTCATACCATATATGGAGATAAATTCCGAGTGGATTATATTTTTTTAAAAAATATTTATTTATTTTGCTGTGCTGAGTCTTAGCTGTTGCATCTGGGATCCTTAGTTGCAGCATACAAACTCTTAGTTGCAGCATGCGGGATCGAGTTCCCTGACCAAGAATCGAGCCCAGGCCCCCTGCCTTGGGAGCATGGGGTCTTAGCCACTGGACCACCAGGGAAGTCCTGATTTTATTCTTAGAAAAGATAAAAACTTAAAAGAACTTAAATATTAAAGCAAAAATACAGATCTTTCTCAACTTACCAAAATACAGATCTTTCTCAACAGATCTTATAGGGTTTTGTCCCTATAAACTCATCATAAGTTGAACATGCCTTTAATATATCTAACCTTGCCTACCTTTACATGCTCAGAACACTTACATTAGCCTCCAGTTGGCCTCAATCATCTAACACAATGTCTATTTTATAATAAAATGTTGAATATCTCATGTTATTGGATACCATACTGAAAGTGAAAAACAGCACAATTGTTTACCCTTGTGATGCTATCGCTACCTAGCATCATGAGAGAGTAGTATACCACATATCACTAGCCTGGAAAAGACCAAAACTCAAAATTTGAAGTACAGTTTCTACTGAACACATGTCATTTTTGCACCACCATGAAATTGAAAAACTGTAAGTCAAATCATCATAATTTGGGGACTGTCTCTTGTGTTTTGAGATATGTGTTTTTGTGATATGTATGCCTTTAGAAAAACCTCTTTAGGAAATTCCCTGGCAGTTCAGTGGTTAGGACTCCATCTTCTCACTACTGGGGGGGCCTGGGTTCAATTCCTGGTCAGGGAACTAAGATTCCACAAGTTGTGCCCCCCCAATCTCTTTATTATCATTTTATTGGGGTTTTCAGAAGGAACAGAGGTAAATTTGTAAGCTCTGCCATTCTTAACGATAATGCTAAAAACTTTAATGAGAAAAATATCCAGTAATTAAAAAAAATTTAAGTATAGTTGTCTTATGTTAGTTTCAGATGTACAGAAAAGTAATTCTTTTTGCAGATTATATTCCATTATAGGTTATTATAAGTTAATGGGTATAATTCCCTGTACTCTACAGTAAAAAATCCTTGTTACTTTATCTGTTTTATACAAAATAGTTTGTATCTGTTAATCCCTTTCTCCTGATTTGTCCTCCTTCTGTCCCTCTGCCCTTTGATAACCATAGGTTTGTTTTCTGTCTGTGAGTCTGTCTCTCCCCTTTATGTACATTCTTTTGTGTTATTTTTTAGATTCCACATATAAGTGATATATAGTATTTGTCTTTCACTTATTTCACTAAACATAATATTCCCTAGGTACATCCACATTGCTGTAAATAGCAGTATTAACATTTTACTTTTTAAAGGCTGAATAATATTCCATTCCATACACACACACACACATTTTTAAACTAGCAAATGTCACTTATTAAATTCAAAATGATGTCATCAAAACAAAAGAAAGATTTATACAGATTTTTTTACTTTCTTGCAGAAATCACATATTACAAAAAATTTTTTATTCAAGTATAGTTGATTTACAATGTTGTGTTAGTTCTATGTACACAGCAAAATGGTTCAGTTATGTATGCATAATCTTCTTCAGATTCTTTTCCCTTATAGGTTTTTACAAAATAAAGTATGGTTCCCTGTGCTAAACAGTAGTACTTCCATGTCTTAGTTATTGTAAGTGATTCCACTATAAACATTGGGGTGCATGTACCTTTTCTTTTTTCTTTTTTTTCTTTCTTTACGACCCCATGGACTGTAGCCCACCAGGCTCCTCCATTCATGGAGTTTTCTAGGCAAGAGTTCTGGAGTGGGTTGCCATTTCCTTCTCCAGCATGTACCTTTTCAAATTATTGTTCTGATTCTTTCCTGATAGATACCCAGGAATGGAATTGCTGAATCAAATGGTAGCTCTATTTTTAGTTTAAGGAATTTCCATGTTGTTTTCCATAGTGGGTTTATCAATTTACATCCCTATCAACAGTGTGAGTTCCTTGTTTCCCACATCTTCTCAGTTCAGTTCAGTCGCTCAGTCATGTCCAACTCTTTGCTACCCCATGAACCACAGCACGCCAGGCCTCCCTGTCCATCGCCAACTCCCGGAGTCCACACAAACCCATGTCCATTGTGTCAGTGATGCCATCCAACTATCTCATCCTCTGTCATCCCCTTCTCCTCTGGCCCTCAATCTTTCCCAGCATCAGGGTCTTTTCAAATGAGTCAGTTCTTCGCATCAGGTGGTCAAATATTGGAGTTTCAGCTTCAACATCAGTCCTTCCAATGAACACCCAGGACTGATCTCCTTTAGGATGGACTGGTTGGATCTCCTTGCAGTCCAAGGGACTCTCAAGAGTCTTCTCCA